TTTCCTATCCTTGAAGTTGGAGGAGGCTGTTTTGTGTGCACGTTTTATGGATGGTACCATATATTGTATTAATGTTCGTGGTTTGTGTAATGAATTATTGGGTTGCTTTTGGTACCTACATGCTACAGCTAGCTAATTCTTGCTTATGGCTTCTAACTTGGTTGTACCTTTTAAACGAGTTATACTCCTGTTTCTGCACTCATCCTCCAGATCTTCTATTAATTTGGTGAGTGGGGAACCTATTTATTTAGAATTACGAATTTAGCCTTGGTTCATGTTGATAAATTGTTTGTAAACACTGAAGTCCTTCTTTTTAACACATTTTGAGGACTCATAAGGACTATTTACATATCCACCACTCATTTTTATCCATTTATAATTTACATTTTTATACTTCACGAACATGCTTTATTTATAAGATTATTAGAACCTTATTATAGTAGCTGCTACATATTTTAGAATGTGGACGTGGTGAATTAACACGATTCTCCTTGCCTTCAAAAGAAAAATGTTTTTCTTGCCGTTTTTTGAACTTTTTGGCAGTTGGACTATGAAAATGGTTATTTGTGTTTTGGCAGGGATCATGGTGACATGTCATCGAAGAAATTTCGTCACGATAAGCGTGTCTATTTAGGAGCTCTTAAGTTTGTTCCGCACGCTGTTTACAAGCTCCTTGAAAACATGCCCATGCCGTGGGAACAGGTACTTGTGTGTTTGATCATTTCTGTGGTTGTTGAAAATGCTCTTAAATTGTTTTCTGAGTTGGATTGCTTGAGCCAATATTTTACATTTGTATTAACGTCTTATAATGTTTCTCCGGATAGGTCCGCGAAGTGAAGATACTCTACCATATTACCGGTGCTATTACATTTATAAATGAAATACCGTGGGTTGTTGAACCCATTTATCTGGCTCAAGTATGCTTCTATTGCTGCACACCTCTTCTTCTGCTGTCTATTTGTTGATCTTAATTGTTGCTCCATTTCTTGCTCAGTACATTAATTTTCTAAATTAATTACCTGTATGTCAATTTTATTACAGTGGGGTTCTATGTGGATTATGATGCGAAGAGAGAAGAGAGATCGACGACATTTCAAAAGAATGCGTTTTCCTCCTTTTGATGATGAAGAACCTCCACTAGATTATGCTGATAATCTTCTAGATGTGGATCCTTTGGAGCCAATTCAACTGGAGTTGGACGAGGAAGAAGATTCAGCTGTTTATACGTGGTTCTATGACCATAAGCCTCTCGTGAAAACAAAGCTTATCAATGGTCCCAGCTACCGGAAATGGCATCTCTCACTTCCAATTATGGCAACACTTCATCGGCTTGCTGGACAGCTGCTCTCTGATTTAATTGATCGCAATTACTTTTACTTATTTGACATGGAGTCATTTTTTACTGCTAAAGCACTGAACATGTGTATACCTGGTATGTTCAATGCTAAGTCTATACTTTTTGGATGTGCTTCATCCTTCATCGAAACAATTATGATTATGTAGATATGAAATTGTGCTTGTTTCTGGGCACCCATGTTTTATATATCTTTATATGTATTGTGGACATGCATGAAAGTTATTACATTGCTCCTGATTGATTTGCTTCTGTATTGGAAATGCTTTTATTATGGTGCATTTGTGCTTTGTTTGCTCTACTTCATGTATTTTCTGAAAACAATTCATTTTCAGGTGGTCCAAAGTTTGAACCTTTGTATCGTGACATGGAGAAGGGAGATGAGGACTGGAATGAATTTAATGACATTAACAAGCTTATTATCCGCTCACCTCTCAGGACGGAATACAGGATTGCATTCCCTCATCTGTATAATAATAGGCCCCGGAAAGTGAAGCTCAGTGTATATCACACTCCAATGGTCATGTATATCAAAACCGAGGATCCAGATCTTCCTGCTTTCTATTATGATCCTCTAATTCACCCCATAACAAGTACCAATAGGGACCAGAGAGAGAAGAAAATTTATGAAGAGGATGATGATGATTTCCAGTTGCCTGAGGGGGTTGAACCATTACTAACAAGCACTCCAATTTACACAGATACTACTGCTGCGGGAATTTCACTTTTGTTTGCCCCACGCCCGTTCAACATGAGATCTGGTCGGATGCGGCGTGCTGAAGATATACCGCTCGTATCAGATTGGTTCAAGGAGCACTGGTATGAAAAGTTCTTCACATTGTTATATAAGTATGCCCAGTTTTCATGAATATCTAATTTGTCTAATCTTCTCGTCGTCATGCTTTTGCAGTCCTCCTTCTTATCCAGTCAAAGTTCGTGTCAGTTACCAGAAATTGCTGAAATGTTTTGTGTTGAATGAGCTGCATCACAGACCACCTAAGGCTCAAAAGAAGAAGCACCTGTTTAAGTCTCTCCAAGCTACAAAGTTTTTTCAGACTACAGAACTTGATTGGGCTGAAGCTGGTCTCCAGGTTTGCAAGCAAGGGTACAATATGCTGAATCTGTTGATCCACAGGAAGAATCTCAACTACCTCCACCTTGATTATAATTTCAACTTGAAGCCTGTGAAGACCCTCACTACTAAGGAACGTAAAAAATCACGGTTTGGTAATGCTTTTCATCTTTGTCGTGAAATTTTGCGTTTGACGAAGCTAGTAGTTGATGCGAATATCCAGTTCCGGCTGGGAAATGTCGATGCATTTCAGTTGGCCGACGGATTGCAATATATCTTTTCACATGTTGGCCAGTTGACGGGTATGTACCGTTACAAGTACAGGCTCATGCGGCAGATTCGAATGTGTAAAGACTTGAAGCACTTGATTTATTACCGATTTAATACTGGGCCGGTGGGGAAAGGGCCTGGATGTGGTTTCTGGGCCCCTATGTGGAGGGTGTGGTTGTTTTTTCTTCGTGGCATAGTACCTCTCCTGGAAAGGTGGTTGGGAAATTTACTCGCCAGACAGTTTGAAGGACGGCATTCTAAAGGAGTGGCCAAAACTGTGACAAAGCAGCGTGTTGAAAGCCACTTCGACTTGGAGCTTCGTGCTGCTGTTATGCATGATGTTCTGGATGCTATGCCAGGTAAACATTCTCTAGAGGATGCTTTGTGAGGAAGTGACAACCCTACCCCCAACAAAAATGAAGGAAGAAAGAAAATAAACTAAATGAACAATGCTATAACTTTCATCCTTTTACTAATATTACGAACTTCCTTTTACCTATATTTATTATTGGTTGAATGTGTAGAGGGTATTAAGCAAAATAAGGCGAGAACTATCCTGCAGCATCTGAGTGAAGCATGGCGCTGTTGGAAAGCAAATATTCCGTGGAAGGTACATCAGCTTTCAGATTGTTGCTTTTTACTAGTTTCATGTTGCAATACCTCCAGATTATCTTCTCTTTGTAACTTGATTCTTGAACTCCTCAGGTACCTGGTTTGCCTGTTCCTATTGAGAACATGATTCTGCGATATGTCAAGTCAAAAGCTGATTGGTGGACAAATGTTGCTCATTATAATCGTGAGCGTATCAGGAGAGGAGCAACAGTGGACAAGACAGTTTGTCGAAAGAATCTTGGACGATTGACCCGCCTTTGGTTGAAGGCTGAGCAGGTATTCCATATTTTAATCTTTAATAGAAAACATCATTGAAATCTGGAAAGCTTTTCTGTTTCTCTGGTTCTTTAGTGGTTGAAAATTTTCTCTTGGGCCACTCTACTAATTAATTATTCATTACCCCCCTTCACAGGAACGCCAACACAACTACTTAAAAGATGGTCCATATGTCACTCCGGAAGAAGCTGTGGCTATATATACAACCACTGTGCATTGGTTGGAATCAAGAAAATTCTCTCCGATTCCATTTCCTCCTCTGTCTTACAAGCATGATACGAAGCTTCTCATCCTTGCTCTTGAGAGGTTAAAGGAATCTTATAGTGTGGCTGTTAGGTTAAACCAGCTACAAAGAGAAGAATTGGGTCTTATTGAACAGGCTTATGATAATCCACATGAAGCTTTGTCTCGTATTAAACGTCATTTGCTTACGCAGCGCGCCTTCAAGGAAGTAAGTTTAGAAATTTGTCCTTTTTTATTTCTTAACCAATATTTAGTATGACAATGGTTTTTGTTGAGAGGTGAAAATATTTTGCTGTTTTTAACAGAATTTAATTGTTACTTTTATTAGTTGTGATACTTCGCACTGATAATGGAGCATTTTGCAGGTTGGCATTGAGTTCATGGACCTGTACAGTTATCTAATACCAGTTTATGAGATTGAACCTCTTGAGAAGATTACTGATGCATATCTTGACCAGTATCTGTGGTATGAGGGTGACAAACGCCACCTCTTCCCCAATTGGATTAAGCCTGCAGATTCAGAGCCACCTCCACTGTTGGTCTATAAATGGTGTCAGGGCATAAACAATTTACAAGACATTTGGGACACTAGTGAAGGACAGTGTGTTGTGATGCTTCAGACCAAATTTGAGAAATTTTTTGAAAAGATTGATCTGACCATGCTTAACAGGTGAGTATTTTACTCAAATTGTATAGTCATTTGACAAGAGAACATTAAGCCCCTGTTTGAGCCATTTTTTAAGAAAATGTATTTTAGAATACTGATAATTTGGAGAACGTGTGTAAAAAATGAGGAAAAATTTTCGACTTGTGTAAAGTTATTTTATGGGAGAAAGTGTGGTTGGAAATGAGTTTTGGAAAAATGAAATTTTGAAAAATTGGGGGCCAAACATAGGCTAATATTAATACTATTGTATAACTTCCTTGTATTGATTTGTTCTTATGTTTCTGCAGGCTTCTGCGTTTGGTTCTTGACCATAATATTGCTGATTATGTCACTGCAAAGAACAACGTTGTGTTGTCATACAAGGACATGAGCCACACGAACTCATATGGGCTCATACGTGGTCTTCAGTTTGCTTCTTTTGTAGTGCAGTACTATGGACTCGTCCTTGATCTTTTACTACTTGGTTTGACTCGAGCCAGTGAAATCGCTGGTCCACCCCAGATGCCAAATGAGTTCATTACTTATCATGATACTAGAGTAGAAACAAGACATCCAATTCGTTTATACTCCAGATACATTGACAAGGTGCATATATTATTCCGTTTCACCCATGAAGAGGCTCGGGACCTTATCCAGCGGTATCTCACTGAGCATCCAGATCCTAACAATGAAAATATGGTTGGTTATAACAACAAAAAATGCTGGCCAAGAGATGCCAGGATGAGACTTATGAAGCATGATGGTAATGTCTTTATTTTATCAAATACTATTTACATATGATAATTTCTTCAGTTTGATTTCTCGACTGGTGGTTAGTCTGATATTTAGAGGAATCTAATTGTTCTTTGTCAAATCTCTGTATTTCAGTCAATCTTGGTAGAAGTGTTTTCTGGGATATGAAGAATCGTCTTCCTAGAAGCATTACAACTCTTGAATGGGAGAACAGCTTTGTATCTGTCTACAGCAAGGACAACCCAAACTTACTTTTCAGCATGTATGTGTAACTTGTTCTTCCTCTTTGCTTTTACTTTTTAATCTGTTATCTTAATATGCACATACATGTCCATAGTGTACACATGCATATTTAACGAGTTGGTGGCCTATATGTGTAGGTGTGGATTTGAAGTTCGTATACTGCCTAAGATTAGAATGACTCAAGAGGCTTTCAGCAATACAAGAGATGGAGTTTGGAATCTGCAGAATGAGCAGACAAAAGAACGTACTGCAGTTGCTTTCTTAAGGGTAGATGATGAACATATGAAGGTGTTTGAGAATCGTGTAAGACAAATTCTCATGTCCTCAGGTTCGACTACATTCACAAAGATTGTTAACAAATGGAATACAGCACTTATAGGTAATTATCTAATTTTTTTTTGCCTCCTAATGCCTCTATTTCATGGTGTTGGTTTAACTAAGCGTTCTTTTGCTGAAGAGTTTAAATTTGCTCCTGCAGGCCTCATGACATATTTCCGTGAAGCAACTGTTCATACACAAGAACTGTTGGATCTGCTGGTAAAATGTGAAAATAAAATACAGACCCGTATAAAGATTGGATTGAACTCAAAGATGCCTAGCAGGTAATATATCTTTGTTAAATCTTCTACTTCTCTTTGTTCACAAACATCCTGAAACTTGCTCTGCTTTCAGGTTCCCTCCTGTTATCTTTTACACCCCGAAGGAAATTGGAGGACTTGGAATGTTGTCAATGGGTCATATATTGATTCCCCAGAGTGACCTCCGATATAGTAAACAAACAGATGTTGGCATAACTCATTTTAGGAGTGGAATGAGTCACGAAGAGGACCAGTTGATTCCAAATCTGTATCGTTACATACAGGTACCAGGATCCCATTTTCTGCCTTGCACTATTTTCATATCATTGGTTTTAATTTTATTTTGCTTTTTGACTTTGTGACAGCCATGGGAGAGTGAGTTCATTGATTCACAACGGGTTTGGGCTGAATATGCATTGAAGCGACAAGAAGCCCAGGCACAAAATAGGCGTTTAACTCTGGAAGATTTGGAAGTAAGTTTCAGAGCGGATCCATTTTTCCTGTTCCCCCTTGTATCTTTTCTCATTCTGTGGGATTCTTTTTTTCGGTTTTTATCCAATAATGGGAGGTCATGCTGAAGTTAAATTAAGGCAAGGGCTTTATCCATTTTTTCTGTTCCCCCTTTTATCTTTTCTCATTCCGTGGGATTCTTTTTTTCTGTTTTTATCCAATAATGAGAGGTCATACTGATGTTAAATTAAGGAAAGCGCTTTAGAGAGTTTGGCCATTTTTGCGGAGACCTAAATAAGCTTCCATTCACATGAAGCTTAGATGCTAAATGGCCTTTTTTAACTGTAAATGATTGAGGGAGTTTTTTGCTGCAGCTCAATTTTTATTTTGTTCTCTCATGGTTTTATCCCTTTTTTGTCCTCTAGAATTTCTTTTTTCCTCTTTGTTATTTATCGAATAAGCGAGTTAACACTAATTGAGGATAAATAATGGGAAGACCAACCTAAATATCAAGAGCATGTCTTGCTTAAACCTGAATAAATTCCCATTCACGGAGCAACACAGTCCCAAGAATTCAGGTTGTCTGGAAACTATAATAATATTAACATTGCCTGATGTGGTTGCAAAATATTTCATATAATCATTGGAATTTCTAGTACATATATCGCTACGTCTACTAGAAAGGATGGAGTGACAAAAAGGTACTCATATAGTTGATTCGATCCCAATAGCAAACAAGACTTTGGTTCTTCTCATTATCCTTTTTTTTTTTAACGTAAATTTTTTTCTTCTGTTTCTATGGGTTGTTGAGGGTGGGGGATTCCTTTTAATACCTTTCAATTGTTTTAGGGGGGGTGGTGCTTTTGCAACTTTGGTGGGCCTCTATTTTATATTTGATATTTTCTAATCAGTAGCATCTTTGTGCTTTTACACCTTTGATGCTTGGACTCTTCGAAATAGTTGGAATACCTGTGTCGGACACGATACGACATGGGTATGAGTATGGAATATGTGTCGGATTCTCCAAGTTTCAATCGGATACTTCGTCATTTCTGGTTCTTCTTCGTTCATTTTTTCTTTCCCATTTCTACTTAGTTCTCCACTAAATCCAAATTGTAATCAAGTCCAATATTTGCTATTTTATATAACATTTAATTATGTCCATAATTGAAAACTAAATCCCAAAATTTTAATTTATTCGTCTCAACTCCTTATTTAGTACCCATTCCTTTTTTGTGAATAATGGATTTTGATTTATTCAAAATGACATCTTGAATTTGTAAAAAAATTGAAGTTTGAAAGACGTATTCACGTATCCGTGTCTGAAAATTGGACTCTTTTTAACCATGTCCCCGTATCCTACATTTTAGGAAATAAAAGATCCGACACCTAGATACGTACCCATACCCGATACCCGTACCCGAATCCGAGCATCATAGTTTACACTCTTTAACGTTCTTAACAATGTCTTACTTTGATCAAAGAAAGTATGTCCATCTTACATTTTTCTTTTTGATTTTCAGGATTCTTGGGATCGTGGGATACCTCGAATCAATACCTTGTTTCAGAAGGACCGCCACACTCTTGCATATGACAAAGGATGGAGAGTACGAACAGATTTTAAGCAGTATCAAGTTCTGAAACAAAATCCATTCTGGTGGACGCACCAGAGGCATGACGGGAAGTTGTGGAACTTGAATAACTATCGAACTGATGTTATTCAAGCACTTGGGGGAGTAGAAGGAATTCTCGAGCATACACTGTTCAAAGGAACATAGTAAGTTTGGCTTGGGCTCTCTCTACTAGAATTAACTTCCAATTCTTTGCCATCACCTTGTGCCAATGTAGTAGAAAATAGTTTATATATGTATTTGTTTTTCTATTATAAATGTAATTTTCCTTGCACCGCAATCATGGTCCAACATATTATATCAAGTTCCCATCATTATGGATAAGTGCTCGCATAGATTTGATTCAGTGTTAAAAAACTATATAGCATTTCCATTATATTGGAAACCTACACTTAGGCTTAATTTTACTTTGCCTTTGCGGTGGGATCAGTTGTATTTCATGGTGACAACATTTCTGTTTCTTAGAACTTCCACAAATTGATGAATTCGTTCTCTTGAAAAAAAATGTGGGTTGTTCATGGAGCTTTCTTGCTTTCTTTGATGTTTCAGCTTTCCTACTTGGGAAGGTCTTTTCTGGGAGAAGGCTTCAGGTTTCGAGGAGTCTATGAAGTATAAGAAATTGACAAATGCTCAGAGATCTGGGCTGAATCAAATTCCTAATCGAAGATTTACCCTTTGGTGGTCACCTACTATAAATCGAGCAAATGTATATGTTGGTTTCCAGGTGCAGCTGGATCTGACCGGGATATTTATGCATGGAAAGATACCTACACTAAAGATATCTCTGATTCAGATATTCCGTGCTCACTTGTGGCAGAAGATTCATGAGAGTGTGGTCATGGATCTTTGCCAGGTTTTGGATCAAGAGCTGGATGCATTGGAAATTGAAACTGTTCAGAAAGAAACGATCCATCCAAGGAAGAGTTACAAAATGAACAGCTCGTGTGCTGATATTCTTCTGTTTGCTGCCCATAGATGGCCCATGTCAAAGCCCAGTCTTGTGGCCGAGTCAAAGGATGTGTTTGACCAAAAGGCAAGCAATAAATACTGGATAGACGTTCAGCTTCGGTGGGGTGATTATGACTCCCATGATATTGAGCGATACACTCGGGCAAAGTTTATGGATTACACAACAGATAACATGTCTATCTATCCATCACCAACTGGTATATTAGTGATATAGTTCGTGTTATATCTTATTCTGATGCTTGTTTTCATTTCTAATTAACATATTTTGTTCTGCATGTAGGGGTCATGATTGGACTTGATCTTGCTTATAACCTGCATTCTGCATTCGGAAACTGGTTCCCTGGGTCAAAACCACTGCTTGCCCAGGCTATGAATAAGATCATGAAGGTACTTCAAAATTTTTGAACTTTTGGATTTAAGGGTTCATTCATTATTAATCATGCAGTGTTATGTTTTTTCCTTGATAAAGGAGTGGATCAATTAATATATCAATCCTTATGTGCAGTCGAATCCAGCATTATATGTTCTGAGAGAACGTATAAGGAAAGGGCTGCAGTTGTATTCTTCAGAACCTACAGAGCCGTATTTATCGTCACAGAACTATGGGGAGATATTCAGCAATCAGATTATCTGGTTTGTTGATGACACTAATGTGTACCGTGTCACAATACACAAGACATTTGAGGGAAATCTCACAACAAAACCCATTAATGGTGCCATTTTTATATTTAACCCTAGGACGGGCCAGCTTTTTCTAAAGGTTTGCATCTGTTGTCACATGCTGATAATGTATCACCTATTCAGTTTTTGAGATTTGTTCGTTAATTATTTGTCTTATAGGTCATTCACACAAGTGTCTGGGCTGGGCAAAAGCGACTTGGCCAGCTGGCGAAGTGGAAAACGGCAGAAGAAGTGGCTGCACTGGTGCGATCATTGCCCGTTGAAGAACAGCCTAAGCAAATCATAGTTACTCGTAAAGGAATGTTGGATCCCTTAGAGGTCCATTTACTTGATTTTCCAAATATCGTGATCAAGGGAAGCGAACTACAGTTGCCTTTCCAGGCTTGCTTGAAGATTGAGAAATTTGGTGATCTAATACTGAAGGCTACAGAACCACAGATGGTCTTGTTCAATATATATGATGATTGGTTGAAGAGTATCTCATCCTACACAGCATTCTCTAGACTTATCTTGATCTTGCGTGCTCTTCATGTGAACAATGAGAAGGCTAAGATGTTGCTGAAGCCTGACAAGACAATTGTCACTGAGCCCCATCATATCTGGCCATCTCTATCAGATGAACAGTGGATGAAGGTAGATTGTCAAACTATGTGCATCGTTGAAATAGTGTTTGTTATAGTTTCTGTTTGATAGGAAAAAAATAGCTTCTGCTGGGGTGCACGTGTATACATTTTTTAGAGGGTGTATATATCTCGTAATTCAATTGCATTTTTGAATTGTTTGTCATCTTTGTAATGTGATGCAGGTTGAGGTTGCCCTTAGAGATCTGATACTTTCTGACTATGCCAAGAAGAACAATGTCAACACATCTGCTCTGACACAGTCAGAAATTCGTGATATAATTCTTGGGGCTGAGATAACTCCGCCATCGCAGCAGCGACAACAAATAGCCGAGATTGAGAAACAGGTATTTTTTCATCACCTATCAAATCTCTAAGTTCTATTTGTCTTTGTGATGTGTCTTCCCTTGGTTTTACGGACATCTTAATATTCTCTTAGGCAAAGGAGGCTAGTCAGCTTACAGCAGTCACTACAAGGACCACAAATGTGCATGGTGATGAGTTGATTGTTACCACCACAAGTCCATATGAGCAAGCAGCATATGGGTCTAAAACTGATTGGCGTGTTAGAGCAATATCTGCTACAAATCTTCATCTTCGTGTGAATCACATATATGTGACCTCAGAAGACGTTAAGGTGCTGTGTGTATTTACCTATAGTTGGTTGGAGGATTAATTATTCCTCGAATTCTTGTAATTATTATATGGAAAGTCCTACCAAAATGGTTTTGTTAAGATTTTTCGGTTCTAATTCGTGCAGGAAACGGGATACACATACATCATGCCTAAAAATATTTTGAAGAAGTTTATATGCATTGCTGATTTGCGCACTCAAATTGCTGGATACATTTATGGCATAAGCCCTCCAGACAATCCTCAAGTGAAGGAGATTCGTTGTATTGCCATGCCACCACAGTGGGGAACTCATCAACAGGTTCATCTTCCATCAGCTCTACCTGAACACGACTTTCTGAATGACTTGGAGCCTTTAGGATGGATGCATACACAGCCAAACGAACTTCCCCAGCTGTCTCCGCAGGTTTATATTTTCCTCATTTTATTCTCTCCCTTCCTGAAATTCACCTGCAATACTTTGTTACTGTTGTTACTTTTTGATGATACTTTCACTGAACAAACTCGTAAAAAAATGCCAAATGTAGGATTTAGCCGCTCATGCTCAGATCTTGGCAAACAATAAACAATGGGATGGAGAGAAATGTATTGTTTTGACCTGCAGTTTTACCCCGGGTTCATGCTCTTTAACTGCATATAAGCTGACCCCATCAGGATATGAATGGGGGAAAAACAACACAGATGCTGGAAGCAATCCCCACGGTTATCTGCCAACCTACTATGAGAAAGTTCAGATGCTTTTGAGTGACCGTTTCCTCGGTTTTTACATGGTAAAGTTATTTTGTGTTTCATTGTTATGCACGTCTCTGTTTTCTTCCTCTCAAGTGCTGGTTTGGTTTTATTCATCACATCTGTTCTAGTGCTTGCGATTAATTGCATTGAATTTGACTTGCAGATACCTGATAATGGTCCTTGGAACTACAATTTCATGGGAGTGAAACACACCGCCGGCATGAAGTATGGAGTGAAACTCGGGGCGCCTCGTGAATACTATCATGAAGACCATAGGCCAACACATTTCCTAGAGTTCAGCAATTTGGAGGAAGCTGAAACTGCTGAAGGGGACCGAGAAGATACCTTTACTTGAAATTTGGCGCAAGGTGTTGCCTTTCCTTATTAAGTTTTATCGTTCATGTAAATGTTGAGGAAGTGCTAGTACCCTTGTGATTGACCTAATCTAGGGCCACTCTCTCTGTACTGTTTTTGAGGGAAAAGAACTGTATAATAATTTTGTAGTACTCCAACATTAAGGACTGGGAAATATATATTCTTCCATTTCAGTACCTCATGAATGAACTGAGTTTTTCTGATATTTCAAGTGTCCTGCTTCAAGAGTCAGCTGCAAACTGTTTACAAAGAATCAAGTTACTTTTTATTTACACATTTTGATGGATCGGTGCACGCTATTCATTTCTTTATTACTCATTTATTTTTTATTTTTTATTTTTATCTATATGTCATGTATACATTTTCCAAACATTAAGACATGGGATCGAAGACGTTAGTGTGAGAGATACAAACTCATCCCTAGAATGTTAAAATATCTACGAGGATGTTATATATGACCAGTTCATACGTCTTTGATACATAATAGATGATCAAAAAGAGAGATTGAATTTGAACTACTTTGTTCTGTAGCTCAGGTTGAAGAACCACAAGCTCTAGTTTAGCATGGAAGCGTGCTGCTGCAGTTATGTCATGAATGGTTTGACAAATTCGTTATACGTGTGTAGTACGTTGAAAATTGCTAAAAAGTTGTGGGAGTCTTCTGATTGAAAATATAAGATTGAGGATGTTAGGGCAAAGAAATTTATTGTTCGGCTCCTTAAATTATAAGATGGTAGACTTCAAAATAGTAATCAGTCAAGTGTAGAAGTTCCAGGTGATTTTACTTGAAATTCATGCCGAGGGGATTAATTTGAGTGCTTTCCAAGTTGCTGCAATCATTGAACGGCTATTTCCGACTTGGAAATATTTCAAAAATTACCTAAAGCACAAGCAAATGGAGATGAACATTGAAGAATTGATAGATAGGCTTTGAATCAAAGAAGACAAAAAGGAGGAGTTCAATCTTGGTGAGGCTAAATTCAATTTTGTGGAATATGTTTAAAGTTCTAAGACCTATAAGAACAAGCATTGGTCATCCGATGGCAAAGGAATTAAGGTGGGACTAAAATGTGGCATTTCCAAAAAAAAAGTTTTAAGGAAAATGCTTCGACTATGACAAAGTAGGAACCATGTCATCGGAACGTACATTGCCGAAAATGAACAATAAGAAAGAAGCTAAAGTTGTTGACTACATGGCACATATCGTTCGGAGATGAATCTCGCAGCTATTATTTCTAAAGTGAATATATTGGGTTCATGGAGCTGCAAGATATGTGTGCTTTAATAAAGAGTAGTTTATTACGTTCGGAGCAATTGAGTTGGAGAGAAATTGTTTATGAAAAATTCAGCAACTTCTCAAATCAAAGGTGAAAGAAATGTAGTTTTGAAGATAACTTGTGAAAAATAGTTGACTCTCAACAATGTGCTGTATGTACAGAAAATTCTCAAAAATCTAGTGTCCGGATCACTTTTGAATAATCATGGTTTTCCGTATTATGTCTAAGTCAGAGTCATTTCATCTACGAGTGAAATGTTGGTCGAAAAATGTTATGCTTATGATGGTATGTCTATATTGAATGTAATGGTTGTAAAACCAAAAATTAATAAAGTTAATTATTGTGCTTACTTGCTGAGTCTTCCAATTTGTCGCATGGTGGACTAGGACATGTTAACTATGATACTTTACGTAAATTATTTAACTTGATTTGCATGTTGGTGTTTTATATTAATTCGAAACATAAGTGTAAAACTTATGTTGAAACAAAATTGACAATGTCATCATTTGAATCAATTGAATAAAATACAGAATCACTTGATTTAATTCATTGCGACATATGACTTAAAATTTGTATAAACAAGATGTGTCAACATGTACTTCATTACTTTTATCGACGTTAACACAAAATACTGTTATGTATATTTGTTTAAAGTGAAGACGAAGTTATAGAAAAATTTATTCTCTATAAGAATGAAGTTGAAAATCAACTTAATAAAAAGAATTAAGGTGTTGAGAAGTTATCCAACACGGAATCATACATAAAATCATAGGACCTTACTCGCCGCAGCAAAATAGTGTTGCTAAACAGAGAAATCGTATCTTAGAAGAAATGATTAATGCAATGTTATTAAGTTTTGGGTTACCACAGAATGCGTGGGGAAAATTTGTGTTATTGGCAAATTACCTTTTAAATAAGGTGCTCTAAAATAAAACGGAAAAAAACCCTTTATGAGTTATGTAAATGAAATATGTTCGAAAACTGTAGATTACATCTTCATTGGCTGCACACATAATAATAGTGCTTATCGATTTCTTGTGCATGAGTTTAAAATCCCAAACATATGATAATGGAATCGAGAAATCATTCATTCTTTGAATATGTATTTTTCGTAGATATCTGAAGAAGAGCTTGATTGGAAATAGTCAGGATGAGGAACTAGAGGAGGAGGTTGAGGTTGAGGTTGAACAAAGACGTAGTAAAAGAGAAACGATAGAAAAATCTTTTGGTCTTGATTTTTCGACTTATGTGTTAGAAAGTGAACCTCAATGCTTTCAAGAAACTGTGAACTCTTCACAAGGACATTAATGAAAAGATGCCATTAAAAGTGAAATAGGTATACATGGGAGCTAGTGGACTTTCCCCAAAGAAATAAACCACAATGCTACAAATAGATTTTCAAAGAAAAATGAAAGCAAATGAAACTATTGAGAAATATAAGACCAAATTAGTAATAAAAGGTTATAGACAATGAGAAAACCTCGATTTCTTTGATTAAATATTCTCCAGTGATAAGAATAACATCTATTATGACGATTCTTTCGATTGCAGTTCTGCGAAATCTTGAAGCACATCAAATAGATGTTAAAAATTGTCTTTTTAAATAGAGATATAGAGGAAGAAATTTACATGGAATGACTCGAGGGTTTCTCATTGCTAAGGCAAGAAAAAAAGTCTATAAGTTATTGAAGTCTTTATATAGTTTGAAACAAGCATCGAAATAGTGGTAGGGTTGGCAACGAGGTGAGTTCGATTTGAGACAGGGCTGGCTCCCCCACCCCGCCTCGCCTGGCACTTTTTCGCCCTATTACTCGTTTAAGGCAAGGCGGGGTGTTTGCCCCATTTATGTACCCATTTAAATTTTTTTTTCGTTTTTAATAATTCATTTTATTTTCTACATTCATTCAAGTGAGACAATAATATACTTATTAATTTTTTTAATTAATTAATTTATTTTTAAAAATTAAATTATTCGAATGTACTTGGTAAACTAAGGTTTTTATTATATACCATGTTCTTTAGATCATCTTAATTGCTATCTTCTATTAGAATTAATGAAATTTCTTGAAATTTTTACATTTAAAATATTAAATTCTTTAAAAAATTTAAAAATTAAATAGGGTGGGGCCTTATTATCTGTATCCGTCTCGGGGCAGAATCTCTCGCCCTGTACCTAACCCGATTAAGTGAGTAATCCTCGTGCCGTTTAGGGCAGGCCCTACGGGTATTGAGTTTGATAGGTATTTTTGTCATCCCTAAATAGTGATATGCAAAATTTGACAATGTCGTGATACAATGTGAATTTAAAATCAACGAGTGTGACAAATGTGTTTACGTCAAAGACACATAAATGGTTATATCATTTTATATCTTTACGTTGAGAGCATGCTCATTGTTGGTAGCAAGAATATGATTGTTAAATTTACTAAAAATATGTTGAATTTGAAATTTGAGATGAAAGATATGGTCTAGCTAATTTGATACTTGGATGTTAAATTACAAGAACATTAGATAGACTCATTCTAAGCCAATCACATTATGCGGATAAAATTCTAGAAAAGTTTAGCACGGATGACATTGATAAGTACAAGTCATCATCTATCTAAAAACAAAGGCGAGAGTATCTCTCAAGTAGAATACTCTAGAATTATTGGAAGTCTGATGTACTTGATGAGTTGCACACGACTAGACAGCCTACATAGTTAGTAAACTGAGTAGACACATGAGTAATCCAAGAGCTGACCACCGGAAAGGAATAGTAAGGGTCTTAAGGTACTTAAGATACACTTGTATCTATGGACTGTACTATACCAGATACCCAACAATCATTGAAAGGTATAGTGATGCTAATTATATATCTGATATAAAAGACTTAAAATTCACTAGTGGATTTGGATTCATGTTGGGAGGTGCAACTATATCATAAAAATCTTCTAAATAAAAAGTTATAGCTGATTCTATCTGAATCTAAAGTTTATAGATCTAAATAAATGTGATGAAAAGGCTAGGTGTTTCATAACATTTTAAAGGATAATCCGAGATGGTCTAAACCCGTTCCAATAATTTGCATACACTGTGATAGTTAATTAAAGATTGGAGGGGCACAAAATCACATATATAATGGTAAGTCTAGACATACGTGTCATAGACATGATATCATAAGGCAACTATTCTCAATTGGCATTATCTCTATTAAATTCGTAAAATCAAATGATAACATTGTAGATCTGCTAACCAAAAGAAATCCAACCCGATTGACTGGAGATATCAAGATCTAACTTCAAAGGGACAACCTAATCGTAAAAACTTAATTGAATCACTGTGAAAAATAAAATATCCTATCCATTCCTATGATGTAATGTGGTAACCATAAGGATGAAAGATAAAAAATATGCTTTTAATGATTCCTATGCGTGAAGACCGAGCAAAGTAATGTGGGTTACCTCTAATAAGAACTCACATATGTGAGAGAGAAATGGGGTCGTTCCTAAGGAAATTTTGCGGGGCTCAACTCTTAGAAACCCTCATAGAACCAGGGAAAATGTTCATGGCCAAAATGAACATAACTATAAAAACTGAGTTGTGCTAGGAAGAAACCTGTGTGGAGTGTGTCATCGTTTACACAAATGACAAAATAATTCAAGGACATCATGTCTACTAATCAGTTAGTAAAGTAAACATATTTATATAAGGGGAGGTTCAAAGGATAACAACTACCTATGCTAGACGTTGAATTCTATCACCATATCTGTCTGTCATTGTTAATTTTATTCATGTGGGGGATTGTTGAAAAATAATATGATATATTAAATTAATATATTAAAGTCAATATATTAAAACAATATACTCAAATTGAATGGATTTATAACGATTCATGTATTTCAAGTCTAGTCAATTCCATAGTTAATTTGTATTTGAATTGGTTACAAATTCATTCATGGTTATTGTAACTTT